AAAAAAATCTCCCCCCCCCAAAAAATATTTAAAAATAGCAAAATCAGAAACCCTGCCAATGAACTCTTTTAAGTCCAGGAAAAGGGAATTTCTACAAGGAAAAGGGAAAAGGAAAAGGCACAAAAAGAGAAAAACCAGAAAGAAAAAATAATATTCCAAAATACCACTATTCCAAAATCTTACAAAATTTATAACTCCATCAAGCGAAAGGAAAAAAACAAACAGCTTTCTTTCTTCTTTCTACTTCTTCTATATCTTCCCCCTTCTGTTACAAAATCACAAGACCACTTCTTATCAAAATCTTCTTGCCAGTTTCCAAAACATCCCAAGGTCACTCCTTTTTTTTTTTTTAATTTTTTTTTTAATTTGATTTATATGCCGCCCTTCTCCGGAGACTCAGGGCGGCTTACAGTGCGTTAAGCAATAGCCTTCATACTTTTGTATATTTATACAAAGTCAGCTTATTGCCCCCACAAACTGGGTCCTCATTTAACCTACCTTAGAAAGGATGGAAGGCTGAGTCAACCTTGAGCCTTGGAGAGATTCGAACCAGCAGTAAATTGCAGGCAGCTGTGTTAATAACAGGGTGCTTTAAACCACTGTAGTACCAAGGCTCTTAAGTACCAAGGCTCTCCTTCTCATCTTTTCCTTTGTCCAATATAACTCTTTAATTTCCTCTGCAATCCAAAATAGTCTTAAAAGAGAGAAGAAGAAAAAAGAAGGAACCCCCAGCTTCAAAACTTCAAATTCAACTTTTCAAATTACAGTTCTTTAGCCCAAAATGCCTCTTTTCCGAATCTGCTTTCAATTTGTTAAATTACTTTTTCAGCTTTTGTTAATTAGCGTTTATTAATGGCTTCCGCTTCTTCGCAGCTGTTCCAGAGGTGGGGAGGTAGCCTTTTTCCACTCCCTCCCCTCTCTCTTTGCCAATTTTCTCAAGTAAAATAGTTTTAAAAGTTCAGGAGTTAAATATATAAAGGAATCTTGTTTCCAAGACCACAGTTACTCACCTAGATGATCACCTCGTTCTTTTTTCCTTATCTTCTTGCATGTGGCTGCCCGGTTTTTGACAGCTCCTAATGACTGTCTTTCCTTGCTGCTGGGTCGGAGGCTGATGCAGACTTCCCTGTTCATGCCTGCCTGTGCTCCATTCTTCACTGTCCCTACAGGACAGCTATAATCCCTGGGGATCCCCTAAAGCAGCTGAGATATCAACATTTTCCAGGAGCCCTGGAATTTGCTGTACCACCACTGGCACTGGCCACACACCCCTCCCATATTCTTTCAAATGTTGTTGATGATCAAACATTCCTCAAATTGAAAAATATGATATTACAATGTTTAAGCCATGGTTGCATATTTGGTGGGCATTTCCATTTGAAATCACAAGAGTGGTCAGGTTTCCTTAAGATTTTCACCCTGCGCAATTATTTACTCACCCTGCCCTTCAAACAGGCCCTTTTGTAAAACATTGTAATTTCTACATCTTTTAACTTGTTGATGAATTTGTAAAATTCCCTATCCATTTTAGAAGGCGATAATCATGTCATTGCATTAAGGAGAAAATTCAGAAACTGTTTTAAAAATCCTTCTTTTCAAAACATTTTCATGTTTATTATAAGGTTCTTCCACTCTCTCTGTGCAATGACCCTTGTTTCGCTGGATCCTGGAAGAAAGGGATCGAGGGGGATCAATTCTGCTGCTATGACTGTGCTCCATGCCCAGAAGGGAAGATTTCAGATCAAAATGGTAGGGTGGAAATTCTACCAGTTTTCAGTAGACTTAAGCAAACTTTAACATACAACTTTAGTGTGCATAAAATTAATAATTGAAATGCTTATATGACAAATTTCTTGACTTTCCTTCCAGATATGGATGACTGTTTTGAATGTTCAGAAGATCATTATCCAAATAAAGGAAAGAAAGGCTGTATCCTGAAACTGCCGGTTTTTCTAACCTTTGAAGAAACCTTAGGAATTGGATTCGTCTCGGCGGCTCTTTGTTTCTTCTTCTTGACCTCTTGGGTACTTGGAACTTTTATTAAACACAGGGATACGCCCATTGTCAGAGCCAACAACAGGTCCCTCACCTACACCCTCCTGGTCTCTCTTCTGCTCTGTTTTCTCTCCTCTTTGTTCTTCCTCAGCCAACCTGGCAAGGTGACCTGCCTTCTCCGACAACCAACTTTTGGCATCACCTTCTCAGTGGCCATTTCTAGTGTCCTGGCCAAAACCATCACTGTGGTTGTGGCTTTCATGGCCACTAAACCAGGATCTCAGATGAGGAGATGGGTGGGGAAAAGATTGGCCTTTTCTATTGTCCTTTCATGCTCTCTCTTCCAAGTATGGATTTGTATTCTTTGGTTGTCAACATCTCCCCCATTCCCTGAGTTGGACATGCACTCAGCGCTCCAAGAAATGATTTTACAGTGCAACGAGGGGTCAGCTTTCTTCTTCTACTGTGTCTTGGGCTACATGGGAATCTTGGCCATCGCCAGCTTTATTGTGGCTTTTCTTGCCCGTAAATTGCCTGACAGCTTTAATGAAGCCAAGTTCATCACCTTCAGCATGTTGGCCTTTTGCAGCGTGTGGATCTCCTTCTTTCCAGCCCATCTGAGCACAAAGGGAAAAGCCATGGTAGCTGTGGAGGTCTTCTCTATCCTGTCCTCCAGTGCTGCATTACTGGGATGCATATTCTTGCCAAAGTGCTACATTGTTGTTTTCCGGCCTGACCTCAACCACAGGGAGCAACTCACAAAGAGAAATTAGTATGTCATACAATCTTTCTTGCACACCAGAACAACTAGACACAAGGACAGTTTTCCTCCAAACGCCATCACTCTGCTAAACAAATAATTCCCTCAACACTGTCAAACTATTTACTAAGTCTGCACTACTCTTAATCTTCTCATCTTCTCATCGTTCCCATCACCCATCTCCTCCCACTTATGATTGTATGACTATAACCTTGTTGCTGGTATTCTTACGATTTATATTGATATTGTTTCCTGATTGCTTATTTGTAACCTATGACTATCATTAAGTGTTGTACCTTATGATTCTTGATGAACATATCTTTTCTTTTTATGTACACTGAGAGCATATGGTATAGAGCCTTGGTGGTGAAGCAGACTAAAGTGCTGTTAAGTAACACCAGCTGCCTGTAATTACTGCAAGTTCAAATCTCACCAGGCTCAAGGTTGACTCAGCCTTCCATCCTTCCGAGGTAGGTAAATTGAGGACCCGGATTGTGGGGGCAATAAGCTGACTTGTATAAAAAAGAACACTCCTGGGGGGGGGAACGAAAGCCCTACTAAGCAGGTATATACAAAAGTATGAAGGCTGTGGCTTAATGCATTGTAAGCCGCCCTGAGTCTCCGAAGAAAGGGCGGCATATAAATCGAACAAATACATACATACATACATACATACATACATACATACATACATACATACATACATATGCACCAAAGACAAATTCCTTGTGTGTCCAATCACACTTGGCCAATAAAAAATTCTATTCTATTGTAGAAATTGCTGACAAAAGAGAATAGAAAGACTGCTTGTTGCCTATGAAAAATATGTATAGAAATTTTATTTCTATCAAAGGAGGATTCTGGAAGATTATTCTTAAGAGCAAGATTTATTGTAGTTGCCCATTCCAAAAGAAGTAGTTGTGGTGCTGCATTTTCAACCATTTTCCAGGATTGTTTATTCTAACCCTTTGTTCCTTTAAACAGTCGACTTCAAGAGACTTTTTAGAAAATCGATATCTCATGTTCTGTTAGGACTTTTCAGATATTGACTCAAAGCCTGTCCAATGTTTGATGTACTATTTTCATGATATTTATACTCTCTATTTATAAATCACTACATAAATGTGCAAAAAAATCTGAATATCATTTTTAGACATAAATTCAAACAAAGTATCATTTCACCTTGTTTTTAAAAATGTCATCCTGGATCATAACTCTTCACTCTTTATCTGTAAATCAGTAACTGATGATCAGATCATCATAATATGGAAAACTAATAAGATAAAATTAAACGTATTCTTGCTTCTGCCTGATCATTTATTCAAAGTGTAGTGCTGCCCAATAACTATAATGAAGAGTGATTTTATTTGTGTAGTGGAATACTGGTAGAACCAGGGAGAATAATGAAATGTGTTTAGAGACGTCACATAGCCACAAGTGCAGCCCCCACTTGAATGCCTTTGACCCTTATCTCTTTCTAACCATATGCTGACCATTCACTGAGTGTATTCCTCTGCGTAGACAATTTAAGCAATAAATCAATTTACTTGAACCTTCATGTCTGGACCTGTTTTTTCTGTGCCTGACATGAACCTCCATTCCCAAAAATGTTTACTGAGGAGCAATGGAAACCACCGCTGATGCCCATGTGCACGTGGCCACTCCTCCACTGCCCGAATGGCAGCCCCGGGCCATCTGGTGCTCCGGGGCTGACCCTGGAGTGGCAAGGTTGAGCAGAGCAGAACGGCTGAAGGAGAAGTGACTGGATGAGCAGCCAGCTAAGTTAAGGGACAGGAGAGGTGCAACTGCAGATGGCCAGCAGAGATCAGGAAGAATTGCCTCCTCTTCCTCCTCCTGATCTGAGAATGCAAAAGCCTGAGGGGAGGCAGGCACAACGAAGGTCAACCAGGCTATTTGTGAGGCAGCATTCTCTCTCACACACACCCCAGTGGTGGGTTGCTCCCGATTCACACCGGTTCGCAAGAACCGGTAGAAAAATTTGTAGTAATTCAGAAAACCAGTAATAACATTGGCTGGCCACGCCCCCGAACTGGTCCCTGGCCCAGTCGCCGCTCGCTTACCCCGCCCACCTCATCAGAGGCTTTTTGTTTTTTTAAAAAGCATTTTTTTCTACAACCTCTTCGGCCGAAAAAATGCTTTTAAAAGTAAAAAAAAAAAGTCTCTGATGATCACACGGCTCAGCTGGGATCTTCAGAGGCTTCTGAAAGCATTTTTTTCTGCAATCTCTTTTTTATTTTTTTTATTTTTTAAGGCAGACAAACGTTTAATACATCAATCCTCCCTTCCCTGTGACCCCTCGGTGTTATCTTCTAGGCTTGTTTTCCATCTTCCATAAGTTTCTTCTATCTTCATATTCATCCAAACTATTCTAACATTTCATTTCTAAATAAATATTACAATCATCATTTGTATACAATTATAGTATCAATCATTTATATCTCTTTTCCAACCAACTATAAAAATAATTCCATGTTTTAAAATATTCTGATTCCTCCTTATCTTTAATCATCAAAGTTAATCTATTCATTTCTGCACAGTCTAATTTTTTTTATTACTTCTTCTTCCAAAGGTATTTTCTCTGATTTCCAATTTTGAGCATATACAATTCTTGCAGCTGTTATTACATGTATAATCAAATATACATTTTCCTTACTAATTTTTTCTGGAAAGATACCCAGTAGGAACAACTCTGGTTTAAATTCAATACGTTGTTGTATCACTTCTTCCAGCCAGATTTTAATCTTGTACCAATAATTTTTTGCTTCAGGACAAGTCTACCACATACGGTAGTAAGATCCTGGTGTTTGATGACATTTCCAGCATTTAGCTGATTTATCTTTAAACATTTTTGCTAACTTCTCTGGTGGCATATGCCATCTATTAAACATCTTACATTGATTTTCCTTATATGCTGTGGACATTGTTAAGTTATAGTTCCTTTCCCATAGTTGTTGCCATTTTTCAAATTCAATTGGATAACCAAAATTTCTATCCCAGGCTATCATCATTTCTTTTACTTGCTCCTCCTCCAATTCAATATACAACAAAAAATTATAAAATTTCCTTATTAAGTTTTCCTCTGTTCCCATGAGTATCTTATCTAGTTTAGTCTTCTCCATGTAAAAACCATATAGTTTAGCATCTTTTTCGTAACTTGCTCTTATTTGCATATACATGTAGCAATCTATCTCAATTCCCTGTTGTTCCAATTCTCGTTTCTCTTTCAGTTCCCCCTTATCTGTTAATAACTCATTATATCTGACAATATTTCCAGAATTAAAGACATTTGGGTGTATCAAAGCTTCCCTTATTGATAGCCATGTTGGTATTTTCACATAAAATTTATCTCTAACCTTGTCCCAGACCAAAAACAATGCATTTCTTATATAATGTCTATGAAAGTATGTGTGTATCTTACTTCTACCATGCCATAAAAAGGCATGCCATCCCAGTTGTAAATCATACCCTTCCAGTGTTAACAACCTTGTGTTTCTTAATTCAATCCCTTCTTTCAACCATGTCAATGTTGCTGCTTGATAATATAATTTCCAATTTGGTAAACCAAATCCCACTTGTAATCTCATGTCTTGCAACATTCTTAAACTTATTCTTACTTTTTTCCTTTGCCATATAAATTTCCTCATGATCTTATTAACATATTGTAAGTAAGTCTTTTCAATTTTTATTGGCACAGTTTGGAATAAAAATAATAGTCTTGGTAATATATTCATCTTTATCAATGCGATCTGACCCAAAAGTGATAGTTGAAGATTCTTCCATTTTTTCAAGTCTTTTTCAATTTGTTGCTTTAATTTATAGTAGTTTTCTTCTGTTATTGTTGCACATTTTATGAAGTTAAGTATTTCACTTTTTTCACCACTTGTATGCCTAGATTTTCTTTTATCTCTCTATTTTGTTTTTCTGTTGTATTCTTCACCAATTTTTTTATTTTATTTTTTAATTTGATTTATATGCCGCCCTTCTCCGGAGACTCAGGGCGGCTTACAATGCGTTAAGCAATAGCCTTCATTCTTTTGTATATATATATATATATATATATATATATATATATATATATATATATATATATATATATATATATATATATATATATATATATATATATATATATATATATATATTTAATTTGATTTATATGCCGCTCTTCTCCGGAGACTCAGGGCGGCTTACAATGCGTTAAGCAATAGCCTTCATACTTTTGTATATTTATACAAAGTCAGCTTATTGCCCCCACAAACTGGGTCCTCATTTCACCTACCTTAGAAAGGATGGAAGGCTGAGTCAACCTTGAGCCTTGGAGAGATTCGAACCAGCAGAAATTGCAGGCAGCTGTGTTAATAACAGGGTGCATTAAACCACTGTACTATCAAGGCTTTGTTTTATCTTTGTTTATTTTCAAACCAGATACTTTTCCATAACCTTCTATCTAGTCCTAGTAATTTAGGACCTGTTATTTGCGGTTCCTCTATAATAAAAACTAAGTCATCAGCGAATGCTTGTTTGCCGATGACTTTGTTTTAGAACGCTTGTCTTTTTTGACTTTTATTCCTTTTATCTCATCACTCCGTCTAATGTTTCTGTTTAAATCTTCTAGAGTCAAAATAAACAATAATGGTGATAAAGGGCATCCTTGCCTCTTAAGGTTGTAGAAAAAATGCTTTTAAAAGTTAAAAAAAAAGTAGGCCATGCCCACTGGAACGATTTGCCCCCGGAGATAAGAAGGATATCGGATCTCTGGGTCTTTCGCCGTGCCCTGAAAACTCTTCTTTTCCAGCAAGCAGGGCTGGCATGAACCCCGCCCCTCTTTTTAGTTTTTAATTGTTTTTAATTGTTTAGTTTTAATCTGTTAATGGGTTTTAATTCGCATTGTTTTAATTCGGGCCAAAGTATATAATTCTTTTAATTAATTTTAAATTTTGTATTGTTATGTATTTTAGTTCTGGCTGTGCACCGGCCTGAGTCCACTAGGAGAAGGGCGGTATATAAATTGAATAAATAAATAAATAAATAAATAAAAAACAATTAAATAATTTCGGCCCAAGATTTAAAACAACCCAATTAAAACCGAATTCAATTAAAACTGAGAGGATGGGGTCAAGCCAGCCCGGCTAGATGGAATAAGTGTGAGGTGAGATCACACTTGTGAGATGTAGGTGAGATCTCAGTTGTTGGCCTTGACAATCGGTGTATCGTGATGCTTAAAGAAAATCACCAGGACTGCAGATGTGATCACAGATAGAGAAAGAGCTAGAGATGCTAAAGAATATCCCAGGGTGTCTTGATAGGAAAGGAAGTGAAGTCTCTTGGCAATGCAGTGGTCCTTGTGCTTGTTGGGATATTGGTCTTCTGGGCAGGGGTCACAATGAGCTGCATCTGAAATCAAGAGTCAGTGTGCATTTCATGGTGAATCAACAAAGGCAAATCATCCCATTCATATTGGCGATGTTCTCTGACTCAACTTCTCTGCTTTATGCTTCAAATCCACTTGTTCAAACTTTTTTGCAGGGAAGGGTTAACAGACATAGATCGATGGATCTGCTCTACCTCCAACAGGTCTATGAATTTCCTGGGAGATTGAATGTTCTGATAGAAGAATCCTTAATAAAAACTAAGGGTTGAATCTTACATCCCATTCTTTCACAAAAAGATTGATAGCTGATTTTCCTGATGGGATGTAAAAGTGGGAGTAGAAAGCCTAGTAGGGAGCCTATGAATTGTGCCCCAAAACTATCCCATATTAAATTTCTGAGGAGCATGAAAAGTAGCCTGTGGGATAGTACAGTTTAAATTCATGAACTGAGAGGGTCAGCTGAAAAATATGAATATATTGAAGCATGTAAAGCATCCTATCAAAACTTATGCCAAAATTAACACTGAATGACTTCCTGGAAGAGCTCTGCCCTACCTGTCTGATCAGAAATGGTCCCTTCTGGACAAGGGTCATGTTGGTAGCAGCACACCTGCTCGCCCTCTGGAACTCTCCTCCTCTCTCCTGCCTGGCACCTCTTCATGCCACACCTGGCAAAGGGAACCGTGTAAAAGACAAAAAAGAAATGTTTGAGATGGCCTAAGTAATAAATACACTTCATTTGTCTATTTCTACATTTCTGTTTCCATCTTTGAAGGTCTTCATAAGAAATGGTTTACCAGGGCCAACTAGGGGAATAAGCTCCAGGGGGATTCAGGCCAGTGGCAATCCTGACCCATGAATGGATGCCGGAGATTGGAACTGTGACATCAGAATGCAAAGGAAGGCTTGTGACATTAAAAAAAGCTACAGCTTTTCTGAAAGAAAGAATTGTGAGGATCCAACTGAATGGGAATGGTCCATGGAAATAATTCTTGCCTGTTTTAATGGTGTCCTGGAAATAATAAAAGGAAATACTAAAAAGGGCAAGAGATACTCCAGCGCGAACTTAGTGGCTTTGAGGAATGCCCACCGTTCCTGGAAGTGGCCTATTGGCCTAGCAAAGGCCTATCTTAATGACGGGTCTTGGGACCCCAAGAGGTGGCATACAGGCTTTAAGGGTTTTTTTAAGGGAACACTGTATTGTTTTTTAACTAAATTTTTAAGGGGACAGGGGAGGGGGGAGGGATATTGCCGGCGGGTGACTGGGGGGGGTCCATCGGGCCAGCAGCAATCCAGGCTTTGGGGGAAGAACGGTGGAGGGGGGCAGGATGGGGGGCCCCGGGGGCCCTAAGGGAAAGGGTGGGAGTTCATATTCCGGTTGTGATTGGGAATGGAGTCAGGTGGATGAACGGAGGGCTGTATCAAAACTCAGGAGCTCGCCCCGCTGTCTTCGAGTGGTGGCGTGCTCCGATCCTCCAGGTTCTATCCGACTTCCTGGGGGTTTGAGAGATGACGACACTGGGCTCTGATTGGTTTATTTTAATGCCAGGTCTGTGGTTCACAAAGCTCCCCTCATTCAGGATTTGATTGAGGAGGAAAACGCAGACCTGGCTTGCATTACGGAAACCTGGTTGGGCTCAGAGGGAGGTGTCCCTCTGACTGAACTTTGTCCACCTGGTTTCTGGGTGCTGCACCAACCGAGGGCCCAGGGAAGGGGAGGTGGGGTAGTGGTTGTTATCAGGGAAGCCCTTAGTCCACGGGAGGCCACTGTTCCACAGACAGACAGATGTGAAACCCTCCTCATGAGATGGGGTCTCATCTGAGCTAGATGAGCTCGGGAGGTGACACATAGTTGGATCCAGGCAGTGATAACGGCATCCTTGGGTGGAGGGAGTTTTCCCGCCGCCTTGAAGGAGGCGGTGGTTAGGCCCCTCCTTAAGAAACCTGCCTTGATCAGGTTGCAACTAATTTGCAATATGCTAAACATAATATTTTTTGTAATGCTAATAAACCAGGGAGGTAGTTAACATATTTGTTAAAGAAAAAACAAAAGTCACGGACCATAGAGAAAATAGAATATAAAGGTAAAGAGGTTTATCAGCAAAATATGATTAAAAAAGCATTTTTAGAATTTTATACAAGGTTGTATGCTAGTGATAAAATTCAAAGTATAGATATAGATAGATACTTACAGAAAGAGAATATTCCTATAATTACAAAAGAGCAAAGGGGGGGGGGGGTTTAAATCAACCAATAACTTCCGAGGAAATTATGTTTGCAATTAAGCAGTTGAAAGTGGGCAAAGCCCCTGGGACGGATGGTTTGACAGCTGCTTATTAGACACACTTGCAGTTAGAAATGGTGGGATCACTTAAAGAGTTATTTACCAACATACAATCTGGAGGAGATGTACCCTCATCCTGGAGGACAGCTTTTATTTCTCTGATTCCAAAGGAGGATCAAGTCCACACCCAGCCAAAAAATTATAGGCCCATATCACTCTTAAATACAGATTACAAGATTTTTACTAAAATATTAGCAAATAGGTTAATGACAGTCATGCAATAAATGATTCATAATGATCAAACTGGTTTTATAAATGGTAGACAAATAAAAAGTAATGTAAGGCAAGTTGTTAACCTATTGGAGTATTTGGGGAAGAACAACCACATCCCTGCGGTGCTGATATTTCTTGATGCAGAGAAAGCATTTGATCGATTGAATTGGCAATTTTTATTGAAAATAATAGAAAAGATGCAGTTTGGAGAACATTTCACAAAATCTATTAAGGCAATATATCAGAAACAAACAGCGCAAATAATAATTAATGGTAGTTTAACAGATATTTTTAATATAGAAAAAGGAACAAGACAAGGATGCCCTTTGTCTCCATTATTGTTTATCTTGACTTTGGAATTTTTGTTAAGTAAGATACGTGGGTCGGACAAAATAAATGGAATTAAGATTAGGCAGTATGACTATAGATTACGAGCATTCGCAGACGACTTGATTGTTATTTTAACCCAACCATTACAGTCGGTTGTAGGTCTAATGGATATAATTAATCAATATGGACAAGTATCTGGATTTAAAATAAATGCAGGGAAAACGAAGATAATAACTAAAAATATGACTATAAATCAAAAAGAAGAATTAGAAAGACTAACAGGATTTGAAATTGTAAAAAAAGTTAAGTATTTAGGGGGTCTATATTATGACATCAAATGCGAAATTATTTAAGTATAATTATGATCCATTGTGGCAAAAAATACAGAGAGAGATGGAAAACTGGAAAAAATTACAATTATCCTTGTTAGGAAGAATAGCAGCAGTAAAAATGAATGTTTTGCCTAAGTTTTTGTTTCTTTTTCAAATGATACCAATACTTTAAAAAGATGAGAATTTGAAGATATGGAAGAAGGGTATTAATAACTTTGTTTGGGCAGGGAAGAGACTGAGAATCAAACAAAAAATAATGCAGGATATACGTGAAAGAGGAGGTCTCAAAATGCCTAACTTAAGACTATATTATGAGGCAGCTGTTCTATCAGCAATGAGTGATTGGATGAATTTAACAGAAGAAAGAATATTGAATATTGAGGGATATGATTTGGTTTACAGGTGGCATGCTTATTTATTATATGATAAGAAAGTGGACAAGAAAGTCACATATTAAGAAATGCTCTATTGCGTGTCTGGAAAAAGTACAAGTATAAACTAAACGAGAAGTTACCATTGTGGGCAATACCCAGACACGCAATAGAGAATATAAGTGTAGAGCAAAGGCAGGATGTGATTACATATAAAGATCTTCTTAACAAGGAAAGAGGTATACTGCAATTAAAATCGCTGAATCAACTAAGAGAAGAAAGGACAATTCGAACCTGGTTTCAATATGTACAGTTGCAAGCTAGATGGAGAGAAGATCAGAAAATTGGTTTTCTGCAAAATGAGGAGAACTTGGTAAAACAGATTAGAGATCAAAGTCAAATGCACATTAAAAGGTTGTATAATGCGTTGGTAGAAATAGATTCAGAAACGGAGTTAGTTAAGGACTGTATGATAAAGTGGGCACAAAATATTGAAGAACCAATAATGATGGAAACATGGGAAAAAATATGGGTTAGAAATGTGAAGTTCATGCAAGCCCAAAATTTAAGAGAGAATTTTTATAAAATGTTAAAATAGGGGGGAAATTGTTGTAATGATTGTTAAAACTTTTTAAATTAAAAAAAAAAAAAAACCTGCCTTGGATCCAACCATTTTGGGCAACTTTCGTCCGGTCTCCAACTTTCGCTTTTTGGCGAAAGTTGTTGAGAGCATGGTGGTATGTCAGTTTCTGGTGGCCCTGGATGAAGCAGATTACCTAGATCTGTGCCAATCGGGTTACAGGCCCGGTTACAGCACGGAGATGGCATTGGTCGCGCTGGTGAATGTTCTCTGGAGGGCTCAGGTCAGGGGTCATTCCTCGGTCCTGGTCCTATTAGATCTCTTGGCAGCTTTTGATACCATCGACCATGGTATCATGCTGTGATGCCTCGAGGAGTTGGGAGTGGGGGGCACTGTTTTACGATGGTTCGCCTCCTACCTCTCGGGTCATACGCAAGCAGTGTTGGCAGGGGGGCAGAGGTCGGCCATGAGATCCCTCACTTGTGGGGTGCCCCAGGGGTCGGTCCTCTTGCCCCTTCTGTTCAACATTTACATGAAGCTGCTGGGAGAGATCATCCGTGGTTTTGGGGTGGGGTATCATCAGTACGCTGATGATACCCAGCTTTTTATATCCACCCCGAACCAGCCCAGTGATGCCCTCAACGTGATGTCCCGGTGCCTGGAAGCGGTACGGATCTGGATGGGGAGTAACAGGCTTCGACTCAACCCAGCCAAAACAGAGTGGCTGTGGATACCAGCATCTCGGGCCGAGCAAGAAGTTCCAATGCTGTCTATTGGGGGTGAGGTGTTGCCCCCCGTAGACAGGGCGTGCAACTTGGGCGTCCTCTTGGATTCACAGCTGAGTTTGGAGGGTCATATCATGGCCGTGACAAGGGGGGCATTTGCCCAGGTTCGCCTGGTGCGCCAGTTGCGCCCATACTTGGACCGAGATGCCCTACACACAGTCACTCATGCGCTAGTCACCTCCCGGATTGACTACTGCAATGCTCTCTACCTGGGGCTGTCCTTGAGGACCACCTGGAGGCTTCAGCTGGTGCAGAATGCGGCCGTGCGGGTTGTTGCAGGAGGGACCCGATACTCCCATATTACATCATTCCTGCGCGGCTTGCATTGGTTGCCGGTTGCCCTCCAGGTGAGATTCAAGGTGCTGGTGTTAACCTATAAAGCCCTTCATGGCTTAGCCTCAGGCTATTTGTTGCACCACCTGCAACCAGCATCAACTTCCCATCGCCCGGTGCGCTCTCACAGAGGGGGCCTACTCAGGGTGCCGTCGGCTAGACAATGTCGGCTGGCGACCCCCAGGGGTAGAGCTTTCTCTGTGAGCGCCCCCACCCTTTGGAATCAACTTCCCTTGGTGCTCTGGTTGGCTCCTGACCTTCGCACCTTCCGCCGTGAATTGAAAACCTGGCTATTTATGTCCCCCAGCCTGGACTGATGGGGTAGTATATTTTAAATTTTTTAAAAACTTTTTTATTTTTTGTGTATATTTGTTGTTTTTAACATTCGCTTGGTCGATTGTCGTTGTGAGCTGCCCTGAGTCCTTGGAGATAGGGTGGCATACAAATTTTATTAAATAAATAAATAAATAAATAAATAAATAAATAAATAAATAAATAAATAAATAAATAA